GAAAAATAGAAATTATATAGAAAAAATAAAAGATGTTAAGGGGAACCTGAAACACTCAAATAGAGAAATCACCAAAGTTTTTATGGAATATTATAGAGATCTGTATAACATAAATCCCCTGCGAGAATCAGAAAATATAGAAAGTGTGAAGAATCTAAAGAGAAAGAAATATCTAGAGATGGCTGGGTTATTAAAATTAAGCGAAGTCCAATTGAACTCCCTTGATGCAGATATCTCACAAGATGAAATAAAATTAGCCTTGAAGGGTACAGTGTCTGGGAAAAGTCCAGGACCAGATGGGTATACCGTGAGATATTATATAAAAAAAATATAGTGAAATTTTAGTACCAAAACTTAGAAATTATATGAATGCATTAGGTGGAGAGATGGAAGTAAGAAAAGAATCGCTACAAGCTCAAATGGTGCTTATTCAAAAAGAGGGAAAAGATGCTACACAGTGTTCCAGCTATAGACCTATTTCATTATTAAACACTGACACTAAGCTATATGCAAAGGTCTTGGCAAATAGATTGAAAGAGCTAATGCCGGAATGGATACATGAGGACCAGGTGGGCTTTGTTCCCGGGAGGGAGGGTAGAGATAATGGGTTACGATCATTGATGTTGATTCAAAAAAGTAAAAAGGGAAAAGAACCGGTGGTGCTACTCTATATAGACGCTGAAAAAGCGTTTGATAGAGTGAACTGGAGATTTATGATGGATACGCTGGAAGTCATGGGAATTGGCCCCAGGATGAGAGAGTGGATAGGAAAGTTGTACAGATACCCCTCTGCAGTTGTTGTGGTGAATGGGGAGAGGTCAGAACCCATCGAGATGTCAAACGGTACAAGACAGGGATGTCCACTGTCCCCACTGTTGTATGTTATATCATTAGAACCACTGCTGTCAACGATAAGGCTGAATAGAGATATAAAGGGAATCCAGATAGGGGACACAGAACACAAAGTCGCCGCTTTTGCGGACGACTTGTTGTTCTACGTAGGAAACCCCAGGATAACACTTCCAAACTTAATGAAGCTATTAAAGGAATATGGAGAATTGTCAAATTTAAAGATTAATCCAACAAAAACGGAGATTCTAAATATAAACATTTTAAAAAATTAAAAAGAAAAAATACAAAAGGAATTTCCCTTTAAATGGAAAGATAGAGATATAAAATACTTAGGAGTAAAACTCACAGCTTCATATAAACATCTATATAAATTAAACTATATTTCATTGATTAACGAGATTAGAGAGGAATTAAAGATATTGCAGGAGGGAATTCCGACATGGATAGGCCGTATTAACCTGGTAAAAATGATAATAGTACCAAAAATCATGTATAGATATCAAATGATACCAATTAAACTCCCAGAGATCTTCTTTAAGGTAATTAAGAAACTGATAACAAAATACGTATGGAGGAATAAAATACCAAGATTGTCATATGAGTTGTTGAGTAGGAGGAAAGAAAGAGGTGGTTTAGGGCTCCCAGACTTTAAAAGATATTACAAAGCTGTAATATTGGCAAGAACTATAGATTGGACACATAACTTTAAAAAAAGTTGGGTGAGAATAGAGAATGCACTCAGTGGAACAAATTTGGGTAAGGTGATATGGGTACCAACACAGTATAGGGGTTTAAATGATAATGTAAATACATACACTTTGAATGTTTTAAAAATTTGGGATAATTTACACAAAAGTTTGAAATGGACTTTTAATTCAACACTGATTTCACTAAAAAACACAGAGTTTTTCCCCCCTGGTAGAGAAGAAATAGGTGGTAGGTGGTTTAAAAAGGAAGAGGTCCAAGTAAGAGATATTTTGGTGGGGGATAAAATAGGATCATTCGGGGAATTGAAAAAAAAAGAGGGTGAGATTTTCACTAAATTAGACGAGTGGAGGTATTTTCAATTGAGGAGTTTTGTTGGAAGTCTGCCAAAACCTTTAAGGACAAGAGACAATTGGAACTTGTTTGAAAAGGTTTTGGGAGTACAGTTGCAAGAAAAAGTATATGAACCCCTTGGGATTATGTGGAGTTTTGCATGAATTAGGCATAAAATGTTCTCTGAACATCACCTAAGTCACAACAATAGAAGAACACAGTCTGCTGAACATAATACTACACAAATATTAGATGTTGCCATGGTTTAATTGCACATAACATGTAAACATTCACAGTGCAGGGAGGAAAAAGTATGTGAACCTTTGGACTTAATAACTGGTTGACCCTCCTTTGGCAGCAATAACCTCAACCAAACGTTTCCTGTAGTTGCAGATCAGACCTGCACAACGATCTGGAGTAATTTTGGACCACTCCTCTTCACAAAACTGTTTTAATGTAGCAATATTCTTGGGATGTCTGGTGTGAATCGCTCTCTTAAGGTCATGCCACAGCATTTCAATCGAGCTGCGGTCAGGACTCTGGCTGGGCCACTCCAGAAGGCGTATTCTGTGCTGTTGCAGCCATTGTTTTGTTGAATTACTTGTATGCTTTGGGTCATTGTCCTGTTGCATCACCCATCCTCTGCGGAGCTTCAGTTGGCAGACAGATGGTCGTACGTTTTCCTGCAAAATGTCTTGATAAACTCTGGAATTCATTTTCCCATTAATGACAACAATCCGTCCAGGCCTTGAGGCAGCAAAGCAGCCCCAAACCATAATGCTCCCTCCGCCATGTTTTACAGTGGGGATGAGGTTTTGATGTTGGTGTGCTGTGCCTTTTTTTCTCCACACATAGTGCTGTGTGTTCTTCCCAAACAACTCAATCTTGGTTTCATCTGTCCACAGTATATTTTGCCAGTAGTGTTGTGGAACATCCAGGTGCTCTTTTGCAAACTTCAAACGTGCTGCAATATTCTTTTTGGACAGCAATGGCTTCCTCCGTGGTGTCCTCCCATGTACTCCATTCTTGTTTAATGTTTTCCTTATTGTAGATGTGTCAACAAAAATGTTAGCATGTGCCAGAGATTTCTGTAGGTCTTTAGCTGACACTCTGGGATTCTTCTTTACCACATGCAGCATTCTGCGCTGTGCTCTTGCAGTCATTTTTACAGGACGACCACGCCTAGGGAGAGTAGCAACAGTGCTAAACTTTCTCCATTTGTAGACAGTCTGTCTTACCATGGACACATGAACATCAAGGCTTTTGGAGATACTTTTGTAACCCTTTCCAGCTTCATGCAAGTCAACAATTCTTGATCGTAGGTCTTCTGAGAGCTCTTTTCTGCGAGGCATGGTTCATATCAGACAGTGCTTCTTGAAACCAGTAAACCCAAAACAGGTGTGTGTTTTTTTAAGGGCAGGACAGCTGTCAGCAACACATCCAATATCATCACACTGATTGGAGTCAAGGTTGGCTCACTCCTGGCTACAATTAGCTCTGGGAGAAGTCATTAAGCTAGGACCTCACACACTTTTTCCTCCCTGCACTGTGAATGTTTACATGTTATGTGCAATTAAACCATGGCAACATCAAATGTTTGTGTAATATTATGTTCAGCAGACTGTGTTCTTCTATTGTTGTGACTTAGATGACGTTCAGAGCACATTTTATGCCCAATTCATGCAAAACTCCACGTAATCCCAAGGGGTTCACATACTTTTTCTTGCAACTGTACAAGGTGATGGGAAGCACGGGATTGCCAAGGTATATAAAATACTCACTGAATTAGATACAAACACAAAGCCAACATATATAACAAAATGGGAAAATGATATGGGAAGCGTGATAGATGAGGAGAAGCAGAGGAGAATCTATAGATTAACCCACGAAAACATTTCTATGAGAGAAGTAGAGATGAACTATAAGTGTTTGATAAGATGGCACATTACACCAAACGTAGAAAATAAGATGTGTGTAGAGAGTTCACCGTGGTGTTGGAGGGGATGTGGTGAAATAGGCACAACATATCACATGTGGTGGGGGTGCCCAAAAATTCAGGCATTCTGGAAGACAATAACCCATTTGATAAGAAAAATAACAGAAATAGACATTGGCCTAGACCCAGAAGTGTGTATTTTGCATAACATGGATATATCAGTTAATAAATATAAAAAATCAGGGATATGGTGCTACATAAATGCTGCAAAAGCTCTGATACCCAGGTTCTGGAGGCAAATAGAGGTGCCGAAGGAAGAAGACTGGATTGAAGGAGTTGAGCAGATTAAAAAGATGGAAAGGTTGTGTTATGCCCAGGAAGATAGGATGGAGACCTATAATAGGAAATGGGAGAACTGGGAAAAAGCTAAGTTATATATGAAATATAGGAAAGATTAAAGAAAATAATAGGAAAATTGTACTTGCTGAGATAAAATGATGCAGAGAAAAGGAAAAGTAGGAAGATGGGATTAGGGTGGGGGTGGAGGAGGGGGGGGGAGTTAGAATAGAGTAAATAAAGTGGAAACGCTGGATAATATAATGTATAGATATATATATATATATGTTTGTATATTATGATGATGAAATGTATTTAAAATGAAAATCAATAAATATTTAAATTATAAAAAAAAGAAAGGAGGACTGCTGATAACCAGCAATTCCTGTTGATGCTGTGGTCAGCTGTGATTGTACATAGCTGATCACATGGTAAAGGGTCGCTCTGATTGGCCCTTTACCGTGATCTGTGCTCAGCTGTGTCCAAGGACACAACGATCACAGATCATGCCTGATGTGCTCCCCAGGGGGCACCCAAGGAGGGGGGGTGGTTCTTGGAAGAAGTCCATGGATGCCCTCCAAGAACTAGTCGATTGTGCTGTAAACATCTTTTGGCTAAATCGTGGTCCCTGTGACATTGGTCATTAAGACAAATATAGAATGATGAATGCCCCTGATTGAAACACAGCCTGCAATAAAAACCATAAAACTCCATCCAAAACAAAAAGAATGGCTTTCAATATTTCGATAATTGTGGTATTTCTTGCACTGATTTTAACATACTGTACAGAGTAATCTTTTGTTGATTATAAACACATATGGATCTTTTTTCCTGACAGAAAAAGTTCAAAATGAAATTGACAGAGTGATTGGATCAGCTGAACCACAAAGTGAGCACAGGAGGCAGATGCCGTACACTGATGCCGTCATTCATGAAATCCAGAGGTTTGCTGATATTATACCTCTGAATGCCCCACATGCAACTGCTAAAGATGTCACATTCAAAGGGTACAGCATTCCAAAGGCGAGTATAACAGTCTCACCTTTTTCAGGATTTCAGATGCATGTAGTTCCTTGTATTTTCAGCAGTCTTTAACCTCCCTGGCAGTATGATTATTTCAGATTTCTGGTGCTGAAAGCGGTACCATTATTTTGCATGGAAATATGTCGTTTTTTTATTGTAGGCTGTAATTTTTAGGAATAACTCACTGAAATCTGCCTGAACAAGAGTCTAGTAAACATCCCAGGTATGATAAAACTTGAAACATAAAATCATAAATTATAATTTAATAAATAATCATAAAAAATAATAATATAATAATAATACATTTAATTCAATAATATAATCAAACTGAAAACACTGAAATTTGAAATAGAGCACCAAGTTCGTACATTGCTGAGCAAAGTCGCAAAATCGTTTTCAGTGTCTGATGACAAATTTCCCCACAAATCATTATCACTCAATTCTGCAAGTGGTTCTGATTTACTATCACTGTTCTCTAGCTGATCTAAACCCACTTTTGACATAAAGGGACGCTTTTTGGATGATGCCATAGACATTTCTCAGTTTCCAGGCAGAAAGAACAGACAAAATGCAGGCAGGGCACAGGACAAAGCACTAGGGACAATATGTATGTGAAATGGGTTGAAACAGCAATGTTTTACTATGAAAAATTTGTTTTGAAAAAAAATGAAATTTTTTAAAATGTTCAAATTTCCCGCTGCCTCCGGCGGCGCCCGTACGTCCTGACGTCACAGGGACCGGAACACAGAAGCCGGATGCCGGCATCGGCCGGAGGAGATGGCCGGGGACGCTGCAGGGGACACATCGTGGGAGCGAAGGACAAGGTAAGTGCTGCAGGGACTCCCTGAGCAACGCTGCATGGTAAGCCCGAGTGTAGCTCGGGGTTACCGCTTTTGGCACTGACATGTTACCCCGAGCTACACTCGGGAATACCACTAGGGAGGTTAAGAAGCAGGCCTGGTCTTGTTAACAGTTCAATATTAAAGTATATCCAAATCTAAAAGTATATATAAATCCAAAATTAGTTACATTGCAGCTTACCAATCCTTAAATGTGGTGGCTTCTTTGTTTCTTTTAAGACATTTTTTTTCTTTATTTTCAATAGGTGAACCGAGCAGTAAGTCTGTTATTTTCCAACTTCCTTTAAAAGACAAAGCTGTCCAGCAAAAGTGGCAATTAGAGGGTAGAGACTATGCATTAAACACTGACAGGATGCTTACAATGATCAACTTCTATTCATTTTAATAAAACCAAGGAATAAAAACTGTTGCTGTAACTGCTTTTAAAGTATAGGTTTTAATTTGTTTGTAAAATCCATCTAAATCTGCTAGTACAGCTAACATTACCCTCTACGAAGACAGACAATACTGGTGTCCAAAAGGTGTCTCCATTGCACTTGCCTTCCAGACTGGAGACACTGTAAGACAGGAAGTATTCCACTAGCAGGATCACCATGGAAAAATTAGGAATAAAAGCCTAAAAAAATAGAAAAATAATTCAGCGACTACTTTTAATGAATTGTATTATTATTATACAGGATTTATATAGCGCCAACAGTTTTCTCAGCGCTTTACAATATAAAGGGAGACTGTACAGCAACAATACAATTCAATACAAGAGGGTTAGGAGGGCCCTGCTCCTGGGAGCTTACATTCTAATAAAGGGGGGCTGGTGGAACAATATCTGTCAGGGATGAACTGATGAGAGAGCTAGAAGATTCTTAGAAGTTATTAGCTGAAGGCAAGATAGGCTTCCCTGAAGAGGTGTTAATGAACAATAAAAAAAATGGTGTTGCGCTCCCTAAATGGTATCTAAATATTCTAAATACAACCCATAAATATATACATTAAACTAATAATATTATGCATATAGACATAAATAACATGTGATACTTAGATCAATAAACATATGTGTAGACAAAAACATCACATGATGACATAAATAAGTGACAACTAAACATGCGTCCCCAAAAACGGAAAAAAAACGTGTCGTGGGTCAGGAGTGAAGTGATAGATGAATGGCATAAATTATGCCTCAGTAGAAAGTGCTGTGTAAAAATAACTCACAACAAATGTGAATGCACTAAAGTGATATGGTCAGGATAAAACCTGATAACAAAAAACATATTAAAACCACATGACCTCCTAACACATCAATGTGTTAAATCAAAGTGATGCATGAAAACCAATTGCCTAGAATATACAGTAACCATTCAAACGGTTCTCTTTGTAGCTCACTTTGCTACTAAAATGGCTTTCTAAATGAAATATTTTGCATTTGTTCATGCAGATACATAAAGACACACATCAAGAATTATATGACTGTGTTTTCCCCACAGGGGACCACTGTTATCCCATTGCTGACATCTGTTCTGAGGGATGAAGCTTACTTTGAAAAACCAGATGAATTTTACCCTGAACATTTTCTCGACTCAGAAGGAAATCTGAAGAAAAATGAGGCATTTATACCATTCTCGATAGGTAATATTTAATGGGAGCTTGGCTGATTGTTGATTATGCGCATGCAGTGCCATTCTTTCTTAACCTCCTCGGTGGTATGATTCTTTCCGATTTTTTTGCATGGAAATATGTAGTTTTTTATTGTAGGCTGTAATTTTTAGGAATAACTCACTGAAATCTGTACAAACAAGAGTCTAGTAAACATTCCGGATATGATAAAACTTGAAACACGAAATCATAAATTATAATTTAATAAATAATCATAAAAAATAATAATATAATAATAAATTTAATTCTGGTTCTGATTTACTATCGCTGTTCTAAAACCGCTTTTGACGTAAAGGGGCGCTTTTTGGACGCCATGGACTTTTCTAAGTTTCCAGGCAGAAAGAACAGTCAAAATGCAGGCAGGGCACAGGACAAAGCAGTAGGGACAAAATATATGTGAAATGCATTGAAACAGCAATGACAGCAAAAATGACATTTTTGAAAAATTTCAAATTTCCCACCGGTTCCGGCGCCTGTACGTCCCGACGTCACAGGGACCGAAACACGGAAGCCGGATGCCGGCATTGGCCGGAGGAGATGGCCGAGGACGCTGCAGGGGACACATCGCGGGAGCGAAGGACAAGGTAAGTGCTGCAGGGACCCCCTGAGCAACGCCGCATGGTAAGCCCGAGTGTAGCTCGGGGTTACCGCTCTTGGTACTCAAATTTTACCCCGAGCTATACTCGGGAAAACCGCTAAGGAGGTTAAAGTGGTTGTAAAGGCTAAAGGTTTTTTTATCTTCATGCATTCTATGCATGAAGGTAAAAAAACTTGTGTGCAGCAGCCCCTCTAATACTTACCTGAGCCCTATCACGATCCAGTGATATGCACAAGAGCCTTGGCTCTCCAGAGACACTTCCTCCTCATTGGCTGAGACAGCAGGGGGAGTATTGGCTCCCACTGTTGTCAATCACAGCCAGTGAGCCAATGAGGAGAGAAAAGGGGCAGCATAATGTGTAAATGGACACGCAGAGCAGTGGCTTGGGAGTGAACCTGCTTGGGTGTGCAGAGCTGCGTGGAGAAATGAGAGTTCCGGTACTCAACTACAGAACAGAGCTTGGATCTGTGATGTAGTGTTGATATCCCAGGACAGTGACATGAAATGGTTATGGGTGTGCTACCTATCCTGGAGACACAACAGAAAGTGAGAGAAAATCTCTACAAGTTTAGAGAAAATTCCCTTAGTTGTCACTGGAGATGGCTGTAAATTGATTTCCTTAAGGGCAATGGTCACCAGGACAAATAAGGAGGGTAAATCTCCCCAGCAAGAGACAGATAGCAAACGCAAATCTAAAACTAAAAGAACATGTTGACTCTAAATACTTCCATTGAGGGGGTAGATGGATGTATTGCTATGTTAGATTTCAAACATTGGGGTTGACTTACTAAAACTGGAGAGTGCAAAATCTGGTGCTGCTCTGTGTAGAAACCAATCAGCTTAAAGTTTTTTTTTTTTTTTGTAAAAGTTGAATTGAACAAGCTGATGTTAAAAGCTGATTGGCTACCATTCACAGCTGCGGATTTTTCTCCAATTTTAGTAATTCAACCCCATTGCAAATTTTTTTCATTAAAGTGTTTCTAAAGGCTCAAGGTCTTTTGTTTACCTTCATGCATTCTGTGCATGAGGGTAAAAAACCTTCTGTGTGCAGTGGCCCCCCAGCCCCCCCCCAATCCCTATCTGAGCCGCCTCTGATCCAACGATGTTCACAATAGCCTCGGCTGTATGGGGACTCTCCCTCCTCATAAATTGAGAAAGCAGTGGGAGCCCATGGGCTTCCACTTCTGTTAATCGCAACCAATGAGCCAATGAGGAGAGAGTGGGGGGCAGGGCTGGGCCATGGACCTGCGTCTTATGAACTCATAGAGCTGCGGCTCGGGAGTGAGCATGTAGCAATGCCCCCAAGGGCAAGCAGCATGCCCTGGGGGCCTTGCTCAAGGAGGAGGAGCCAGAGCACCAGCGAGGCACCTGAAAAGAAGAGGATTGGGGCAGCTATGTGCAAAACTACTGCACAGAGCAGGACAGACAAGTATGACATGTTTGTTATTTTATATAAAAAAAGAAGCTTTTGTATCACTTTAAGGTTAAAAACCCCACAGGGGTTTTAACTACTCTCCGCTCCACCCAAAACAAAAATATTAAAACGTTTCTTAGAGATACGTATTTTTACATAGGTTGAAAAAAAAGTCTATCTATCAAGTTAAAAAAATAGAATAAAATAAAAACTCCTTACATTCTCAGAACCCTAAATCCACAGTTGATCCATATGTAAAATCCCTTATCAATAATGGTGAGGTGGTCCAATTTGCTCTAACGGGGTATTCCTTCCTCATCCTCACAGCAATCAAATGCTCCCAGGATCAACCATCATACTTTAAAGTTTGTCACAAAACGTAACAGTGAGCCAGTTTCTTTGTTTCCTATTTTCAACAGGTAAGAGAAGCTGTGCTGGAGAGAACCTAGCAAAGATGGAGCTGTTCCTGTTTTTTACAACACTTCTGCAAAACTTCACCTTCCAGGCTCCTCCTGGTGTTGATCCAGACTTGACCCCTGCGCTGGGGTTTACTAGTGCCCCCTTACCACACAGGATTTGTGCTATACCACGCAGTTAGAAAGCTTTTTTAGTCAGACCAATTTTACTTAATTGTCATAACAACTGAAAAATAAAAGTCCAATTTATCTAGTATAGAACGAGAGGCGTAAATTGAATCCTTATGTACCAGTGTACCAAGATTCTAACTTTGAGGGCCAGTGGATCCAGTTAACAAAATCAAAGATAGTGTCACGCTTCACTAACAATAGCAGTAAAAATTATATCAAATAGGTGAATGGAATAAATTATAGTCCAACATCAAATTAAAAGTGACAATGCAATCACGCTGCTGCTGCAAAAGTGTCCTTAATTAATTCGTGACTTTTGACATTCCTTCTAGTAGTGTGATACAATGTAATTAGCGTGCTGTCCACCAATCATAAAAATAGTGTACACCTTCACCGGTTGTGCTCTCACCTGGTGTATATGACCAAACCGTTAGGTGAGGTCATAAAGGGCTTGTGTCCCTTTAATTACATTTACGGGTAAATTAATGAGATTATCCCTCTTTCCTGGGGATGGATGGATGGAGTTATCCCTCTTCCCACTAGGGGGTCTCCTCGCTTCCTTAGGAATTTTCCTGGGGGTGGATAGATGGATGGAGTTATCCCTCTTCCCTCTAGGGGGTCTCCTCACTTCCTTAGGAATTTTCCTGGGGGTGGATGGATTGATGGAGTTATCCCTCTTCCCACTATGGGGTCTCCTCACTTCCTTAGGAATTTTCCTGGGGATGGATGGATGGAGTTATCCCTCTTTCCACTAGGGGTCTCCTCGCTTCCTTAGGAATTTACCTATGGGTGGATGCATGGATGGAGTTATCCCTCTTTCCACTAGGGGGTCTCTTCGCTTCCTTAGGAATTTTCCTGGGGGTGGATGGATGGAATTATCCCTCTTCCCACTAGGGGGTCTCCTCGCTTCCTTAGGAATTTCTGGGGGTGGATGGATGAAGTTATCCCTCTTCCCACTAGGGGGTCTCCTCACTTCCTTAGGAATTTTCCTGGGGGTGGATGGATGGAGTTATCCCTCTTCCCACTAGGGGGTCTCCTTGCTTCCTTAGGAATTTTCCTGGGGGTTGATGGATGGATGGAGTTATCCCTCTTCCCACTAGGGGGTTTCCTCGCTTCCTTAGGAATTTTCCTGGGGGGTGGATGGATGGATGGAGTTATCCCTCTTCCCACTAGGGGGTCTCCTCGCCTTCCTTAGGAATTTACCTCCATAGGTATAAGTGCCTTGACAGGTAATAAAAAATATTGTGCCTTATCTTCTTTTTAAAATTATTTATTAAATAAAGTAGTGCACTCACATCTATTACAGGTTAAATAAATGACATTTGGTGCAATTTTAACAAATCATTATTGGCTAAAGATGGGGCTGAAACCATCATTCTTAGTAACTTTAAAGTGGTTGTAAACCCTTACATATACCTACTGAAGTGATACACAAAGATTAAACAAATCCTCCTACATAAGTTGTACCTGCTTGTTTGCAACCCTCTCTTCTGTACAGCCATTCAAAGTACACATATCAAAGGGTATTGTCAGGAATGGACTGACCACAGGTGGTTCTGGGGTTCACCTGCCTTGTGGGCTGCAGTACCAGTGCTGGCCAGCGGGTGCTCTCAGCAGCCAGAATCTTACTCCTGCAATCAAGCCATCACCTGAGGCTGACTGCAGGAGGTGTATTTAAGCAATGACCAGACCTGCAGTCAGTGCCTTGGTGTATTGTGCTCATGAGCCCCTGTGCCTGATCCTGTCGTCTGCCTTCCTTCCTGATCCATCTGCCTGACTCCTGACTTTGATAGAACTCTGCCTGCACCGACCCCGGCTATTCCTGACCACTCTCCAGCCTGCTCCTCTGGTACCTTGTCTGCCTGATTGTTCCTTACCCGGCCCATCTGACTACGCTCTTCCTGTTCCTTTGTGTCTTGTCTGCCCATGGTTCCTGACCCGGCCTGCCTGACAACTCCACCTCACCAGCCCTGACTGGTCTTGTCTGTGTACTTTCCGTTATCAGTTGGAGGTTTGGTTTTGTGTATATTGTGCGTTTTATATTTGTGTATAGCCTTTAATAAATTATATTGTTACACCATACTTGAGCCTGCTTTTCCCTGTGTCAGTTCACACACATCTCTGGTCATACCGGGAGCCCTGACAGGTATTTCTGAGCTTCAAGCAGGTAGGTGGTGAAGAATCTTATGTGACACACTGCACAGTACAGAGCTGAGTGTAACCTGAGACCTGTGTGAAGGGAACAACCTCTACATAGGTCATACTGGGAGCCCTGACATTACACCAAGGCCAATCCTGACCAGAAGTGGCTGCACAGGGAAGCCATCTTGGCTTGTTGTTGTTAAGTGTGCATCCTGAGGAGATTGTGTACTTGTTGCTGTTAGTCTTAGAAGACAGAGAATATGGCAATCAGATTCTGAAGGAGTATACCAAGGATCAGCTGCTAGAATGCATACAAGTTGCTCATTCCCTAGTAGATCAGGGCATGGAGTTTTATGAGGTACAGCCATTGATTCAGGTTTGTGCTGAGTTGGCTCTGTCCTGTACCCCTGAAAGCAGGGATGACTTTTTCCACCATTTAGTGCAGATCAAGTGGAATCACTGATATGGTTGTTGGAGGATGATCCAGATTGCTTCCATGAGCATTATTCAGCTTGTCCATCAAATGTGCTTATGGATTGCATAAAGGCAGTGCAGTCTTTGGTCAGACAGGCTATGTGTAAGCTGAGCTTTGTTCAACCGGTATTACAGACATGGTCAGATTTGTTACACCCAGCCCCAGTCAGCTTGCAAAAACCCAGTCCTGCTTCTAACCTATTTCTTCAAAGCTCTATTCCTGCATTCCCGACAGCACCTCCAGTTCCAGCCCAGTATACCCTGCTATCAACCAAATGTCAGTACCCTGTTCCCACTCGCTGCACCTATCCTGCCTTTAACCTTGTAAAGAAGCTCTCTGTAGCAACTGCTCCCTCCTCTGTTCCATCCTCCAGCTCTTCCCTGTCTTCAGCTGCTCCAGACCTGCATTTACTTACAGTGCTTCAGTAACTAAACCCAAGAAGAAGAGAAATTTCTTTCCAACTAGTACCATCCTGCCAGTATCCAAACCGGTCAGCCTGCCGTCTGAGAACCCGCCTTCCGTTGTCGAGCCTGGTGCCCAGGTGCCTGCGATTCAGCCTGATTGCCTGATGACCCAGTGTACAATATCCAGCCTGATGACCCGATCCAGCCTGATGACCCGGTGCTTGTGATCCAGCCTGATGACCCAATCCAGCCTGATGACCTGATCCAGCCTGATGACCCGATCCAGCCTGATGACCCAGTGCCCGTGGTCCAGCCAGACGTCCCAGATCCCTCTGTTGAGCTTGGTGACTCGGTGCCTGCTGTCGAGCTTGGTGAATCGGTGCCCGCTGTCGAGCTTGGTGACTCGGTGCCCGCTGTCGTGCCAGATGATTCAGTGCCTGCTGTCGTGCCAGAGGATTCGGTGCCTGCTGTCGTGCCAAATGACTCGGTGCATGCTGTCGTGCCAGATGACTCGGTGCCCACTGTCGTGCCAGATGACTCGGAGCCCGCTGTCATGCCAGATGACTCGGTGCCCGCTGTCGTGCCAGATGACTCGGTGCCCACTGTTCTGCCAGATGACTCGGTGCCCGCTGTCGAGCTTGGTGATCTGGTGCCCGCTGTCATGCCAGGTGACTCGGTGCCCGCTATCGTGCCAGGTGACTCGGTGCCCACTGTCGTGCCAGCTGTCGTGCCAGGTGACTCGGTGCCCGCTGTTGTGCCAGGTGACTCGGTGCCCGCTCTCATGCCAGGTGACTCGGTGCCCGCTGCCTCGCCTGATGGCCCGGTGCCCGCTGCCTCGCCTGATGGCCTGGTGCCCGCTGCCCAGCCTGATGTGCCTGCTGCCCAGCCTGAAGACCCGGTGCCTGCTGCCCAGCCTGATGGCCTGGTGCCCGCTGCCCAGCCTGATGTGCCCACTGCTCAGCCTGATGTGCCAGCCCCTGATGTCCAGCTAAACTGGCTGATACCTGATTCCCAGCCTGCTCCTGGAGATCCTGTGTCCAGCAACCTGCCTTCCTGTGTTCTCCTATGTACAGAGAAATCTACCAGCAGGAAACCCAGCCAGCCGCTTGACTCCGGCAGTGGGATACTCAGACAGTTACCTGACCCGGGCGGTGGAACATTTTGCCCACTAAGTACTGTTTGGAGCGTCCTGAGGCCGCTCCTTGAGGGGGGGTACTGTCAGGAATGGACTCACCACAGATGGTGCTGGGGTTCACCTGCCTTGTGGGCTGCAGTACCAGTGTTGACTAGTGGGTGCTCTCAGCAGCCAGAATCTTGCTCCTGCAATCAAGCCAGGCTGATTGCAGGAGGTGTATTTAAGCAATGGCCAAACCTGCAGTCAGTGCCTTGGTGTATTGTGCCCATGAGCCCCTGTGCCTGATCCTGTCGTCTGCCTTCCTTCCTGATCCCTCTGCCTGACTCCTGACTTTGATAGAACTCTGCCTGCACCGACCCCGGCTATTCCTGACCACTCTCCAGCCTGCTCCTCTGGTACCTTGTCTGCCTGATTGTTCCTGATCCGGCTCGTCTGACTATGCTCTGCCTGCTCCTTTGTGTCTTGTCTGCCCCATGGTTCCTGACCCGGCCTGCCTGACCACTCTACCTCACCAGCCCTGACTGATCTTGTCTGTGTACATTCTGTTATCAGTTGGAGGTTTGGTTTTGTGTATATTGTGCGTTTTATATTTGTGTATAGCCTTTAATAAATTATATTGTTACACCATACTTGAGCCTGCTTTTCCCTGTGTCAGTTCACACATCTCTGGTCATACCGGGAGCCCTGACAGGTATTTCTGAGCTTCAAGCAGGTAGGTGGTGAAGAATCTTATGTGACACACTGCACAGTACAGAGCTGAGTGTAACCTGAGACCTGTGTGAAGGGAACAACCTCTACATAGGGAGACATGAACATCTGAGGCTGTCAATCACATGCTGTGTGCTGGAGGGGGGAGGGGCATTCCTTGAAGATTTTCTGGTGTCAAGGAAAACTGTCAGAATTGACAGTTTTACTTGAGGAAGCATATTTGGTGCTTTGGACTCAGTAAAATACACACTATAGAAGGATATGCTTTATTCATTTTTTCATTTCAGATGTTTATAACTAGAGATGAGCGAATCGAACCAGGCGAACCGGAATTCGAGTCGAATTTCAGGAAATATTCGATTCGCGGCGAAACCGAAATTTTGCCTACTTCGGGTGCGCGAATCGAACATTTCCCGATCAGCCGGCAAAAGTGTCCCTGCAGTGAGCTCCACTATTTCTGACAGTTCTCTGACAGAAGGAACACATGTTTAGCGGTTGAAACATTGTATCTATTAGTTTACATTTAGGATACAGATGTTTCAACCACTGTTCATGTGAAGAAGCAGGACAGTCCCAGAACTGTCATTAATAGTCTATTTCTGACAGTTCTATGACATTCCCTCCATACAGCGGTTGAAACAGCTGTATGGAGTGAATGTCCCAGAACTGTCAGAAATAGACTATTTATGGCAGTTCTGGGACATTCACTCCATACAGCGGTTGAAACATTGTATCTATTTTTTTCCATAAATGACATTCTGCAAATACACTTAGAGGAGCGCTGCAGATACACTTTTTGCCGGCTTGGAATTAATCTTATTTTCATCCTACTTCTTCTTCTTCATCCTCATCCTCATCCTCATAAGAAGAAAAAGAAGAAGTAGGATGAAAATAAGAATAATTCCAAGCCGGCAAAAAGTGTATCTGCAGCGCTCCTCTAAGTGTATCTGCAGAATGTCATTTATGGAAAAAAATAGATACAATGTTTCAACCGCTGTATGGAGTGAATGTCCCAGAACTGTCATAAATAGTCTATTTCTGACAGTTCTGGGACATTCACTCCATACAGCTGTTTCAACCGCTGTATGGAGGGAATGTCATGGAACTGTCAGAAATAGACTATTAATGACAGTTCTGGGACTCTGACAGTTCCATGACATTCCCTCCATACAGCGGTTGAAACAGCTGTATGGAGTGAATGTCCCAGAACTGTCAGAAATAGACTATTTCTGACAGTTCTGGGACAATCACTCCATACAGTGTGTTTCAACCGCTGTATGGAGGGAATGTCATGGAACTGTCAGAAATAGACTATTAATGACAGTTCTGGGACTGTCCTTCCATACAGCGGTTGAAACATTGTATGTATTTGTTTCCATAAATGGATCCATTTATGGAAACAAATACATACAATGTTTCAACCGCTGTATGGAAGGACAGTCCCAGAACTGTCATAAATAGTCTATTTCTGACAGTTCTGGGACATTCACTCCATACAGCTGTTTTCAACCGCTGTATGGAGGGAATGTCATAGAACTGTCAGAAATAGACTATTAATGACAGTTCTGGGACTGTCCTTCCATACAGCGGTTGAAACATTGTATGTATTTGTTTCCATAAATGGATCCATTTATGGGAAACAAATACATACAATGTTTCAACCGCTGCATGGAAGGACAGTTGAATGTCCCAGAACTGTCAGAAATAGACAGAAACTGTCACAGAACTGTCCTTCTTCTCATCCTTCTCCTTCTTCTCATCCTTCTTCTCATCCTTCTTCTCATCCTTCTTCTCATCCTTCTCTTCATCCTTCTCCTTCTTCTCTTCTCCTTCTTCTTCTTCTCTTCTCCTTCTTCTCCTTCTTCTTCATCCTTCTTTCTCATCCTTCTCCTTCTTCTCATCCTTCTCCTTCTCCTTCTTCTCATCCTTCTCCTTCTCCTTCTTCTCATCCTTCTCCTTCTCCTTCTTCTCATCCTTCTCCTTCTCCTTCTTCTCATCCTTCTCCTTCTCCATCTTCTCATCCTTCTCCTTCTCCTTCTTCTCATCCTTCTCCTTCTCCTTCTTCTCATCCTTCTCCTTCTCCATCTTCTCATCCTTCTCCTTTTCCTTCTTCTCATCCTTCTCCTTCTGCTTCTCTCCTTCTCCTTCTCCTTCTCCTTCTCTCATCCTTCTCCTTCTTCTCATCCTTCTCCTTCTTCTCATCCTTCTCCTTCTTCTTCCTTCTCATCCTTCTCCTTCTTCTCCTCCTTCTTCTCCTTCTTCTCATCCTTTCTTCCTTCTTCTCATCCTTCTCCTTCTCCTCATCCTTCTCCTTCTTCTCATCCTTCTCCTTCTCCTTCTTCTCATCCTTCTCCTTCTCCTTCTTCTCATCCTTCCTTCTCTTCTTCTCCTTCTTCTCTTCTTCTCCTTCTCCTTCTTCTCATCCTTCTCCTTCTCTCATCCTTCTTCATCCTTCTCCTTCTCTCATCCTTCTTCTTCCTTCTCCTCCTTCTCCTTCTCCTTCTTCTTCATCCTCTCTTCTCCTTCTTCTCATCCTTCTCCTTCTTCATCCTTCTCATCCTTCTTCTCATCCTCTCCTTCTCCTTCTCTCATCCTTCTCATCCTTCTCCTTCTTCTCATCCTTCTCCTTCTCTCCTTCTCATCCTTCTCCTTCTTCTCCTTCCTTCCTTCCTCTTCTCCTTCTCCTTCTCCTTCTTCTCATCCTTCATCCTTCTCCTTCTTCTTCTCTTCTCCTTCTCCTTCTTCTCATCCTTCTCCTTCTCCATCTTCTCATCCTTCTCCTTCTTCTCATCCTTCTCCTTCTTCTCATCCTTCTCCTTCTCCTCCTTCTTCTCATCCTTCTCCTTCTCTCTCATCCTTCTCCTTCTCTCATCCTTCTCCTTCTCTTCTTCTCATCCTTCTCCTTCTTCTTCATCCTTCTCCTTCTTCCTTCATCCTTCTCCTTCTTCTCATCCTTCTCCTTCTCCTTCTTCTCATCCTTCTCCTTCTCCTTCTTCTCATCCTTCTCCTTCTCCTTCTTCTCATCCTTCTCCTTCTTCTCATCCTCTCTCCTTCTCCTTCTTCTCATCCTTCTCTCCTTCTTCTCATCCTTCTCCTTCTTCTCATCCTTCTCCTTCTCCTTCTTCTCATCCTTCTCCTTCTTCTCATCCTTCTCCTTCTTCTCATCCTTCTCCTTCTTCCTCATCTTCTTCTTCTCATCCTTCTCCTTCTTCTCATCCTTCTCCTTCTCTCCTTCTTCTCCTTCCTTCTCCTTCTTCCATCCTTCTCCTTCCTTCTCCTTCTCCTTCTTCTCATCCTTCTCCTTCTCCTCTTCTCATCCTTCTCCTTTTCCTTCTTCTCATCCTTCTCCTTCTCCTTCTCTCTTCTCCTTCTCCTTCTCCGTCTTCTCATCCTTCTCCTTCTCATCCTTCTCCTTCTTCTCATCCTTCTCCTTCTTCTCATCCTTCTTCTCATCCTTCTCCTTCTTCTCATCCTTCTCCTTCTTCTCTCCTTCTCATCCTTCTCCTTCTTCTCATCCTTCTCCTTCTTCTCATCCTTCTTCTCATCCTTCTCCTTCTTCTCATCCTTCTCCTTCTCCTTCTTCTCATCCTTCTCCTTCTCCTTCTTCTCATCCTTCTCCTTCTTCTCATCCTTCTCCTTCTCCTTCTTCTCATCCTTCTCCTTCTTCTCATCCTTCTTCTCATCCTTCTCTCTTCTTCTCATCCTTCTTCCTTCTCTTCTCATCCTTCTCCTTCTTCTCATTCTTCTTCTCTTCTCCTTCTCCTTCTTCTCATCCTTCTCCTTCTCCTTCTTCTCCATCCTTCTTCTCATCCTTCCTTCTCCTTCTTCTCATCCTTCTCCTTCTCATCCGTCTCTTTCTTCTCATCCTTCTCCTTCTTCTCATCCTTCTCCTTCTCCTTCTTCTCATCTTCTTCTTCTCCTCATCTTTCCTCCTTCTTCTCATCCTTCTCCTTCTCCTTCTTCTCATCCTTCTCCTTCTCCTTCTCTTCTTCTCATCTCATCCTTCTCCTTCTTCCTTCTCCTTCTCCTTCTCCTTCTTCTCATCCTTCTCCTTCTCCTTCTCCTTCTCTTTCCTCATCTCCAAGGGCATTTAAATTAAAGGTACAGTGTTCTGCACTAATTTAAAGGCTCTCTGAAGCCTAGAAA